CCTTGTTGTTTAGCACGCTAATTTGTGCTACAGAAATCCTTGACTGTATAACACAGGCTGCACTGTTTGAGGTATTTTGCACTTTTGATGTAATCGCTTCTCTTCATTGAATTAAAACCGTTTGAATTTAGTAAATTTTGCATTTTTATATAATTTAATACACATCATTCAAACACGCATCATATTCCATACAGAAGAAAGCAGTTTAGTCTAATTGAGTAAAAATTGGTTCGTTCGTTCTGCGTTCAAATGGAGTATTGGTATTTTGGTCATTAGAATGATAATAATCTGCATGATAGCTAGTAGGTATATCTGCGTGATTATATTGTGGCGTAATGCAACCACGTCGGTCAATTTAATAACCCTATGGAAAAACTCATTTGGCAAGTTATTGATCCTTCCTATGAATGTGAACGTACAATGTTGGACAGAAATTATTGCTACAGCTCAGTTTGTGGAATTTACAAGAAATAACAGTTCCTTGAAGCCTGAGAACGAACTTTGGCTAGTGGCGGTAATTTTAGATCTATAAAAACTAGATTATCTGATCAGTTTCACTGTAGGGATTAGGCTGCACTAAATAATTTGAATCAAAAATCTCAAAATTCCGGTCTGTAAATTTGAGTTTAGAAATGTCTACTACCAAACAGAAAACAGTAATGATAACTTCCATACAGCAGAAATACAGAAAAAGTATACGTAAACTGGAACTTAAGTTCTTATTGATTAGAGTTTTTACAAACTTCAGATGCGTGATATTAAGTGTTGCGTTTTATAAATTGCTAGGCAAATTAATTACCACGCAATAAAAATAGAAAGTGATTGTCAGGAAAAAGTGTACTAGGAATATCATTAAACATAACATACTATCAAACAATGTTACTTGCGATTATTCAGAATTTAGGGTCAGGTAATATAGAGTTAACTTATCCTGTCGTACTTCTAATGCCGATTCAAGACAACGCGTGTTGGAAAATAAAGATTTCATAGCGTTTGTAATTTATGCACTGACAATAGTATCTCGACATGTGGACTGTTCCAAACTGTGAATCAAATATTTAGTTAACATACCTTTAAATCCGAATCAAAGAAATGATACCATGACCCTAAAATGAGGTTGTATTTGCACGCGACAACAGTAACAGAAAAAAGAAAGCAAGCGTGATAGGTAATATATTCTATTATTAATACGTGCAAATATGGCAAGTTGACTACAAATGTGCTTGCACATGCAGTATCACTGAAACACAAGATACCAATGTTTCATTAGGACAAGATTGGTTAAAATATTGAATCTTTTATAGAGAATAAAATGCACTGTAACGAACTATCTCGAAGTAACAGATAAAAACTAGTGAACAAATAGGATAGGAATCCATTTATTCAACATTTATAGCAAGTTCATCCACCGATTCAACAATACCATTACAACGTCAGATGCCTGCTGAATATCCCTGTGTCAGAACGAATACATCTATTCCGAAGATTTTCAACAGTCTCGGTGTCAGTTCTGATATGCCTTTTATGTATGGTAGAGTGATCCTTTTCATGACCAATGTATCCTATAAAGTATCAACCTAACTGAGTGACATACTACAGTAAAGACTGTGTCTTTTGCATCAATTTGATGTTGCCTGTAAACTGGAATGTCTCGTGTAACAGATAGTTATTTTAGAATAAATTATTATTAGCTGAAAGCTTCACTCTCAGCTCTGAACGTTTCACAGTGGACTGATGCCCTTCTTCTCGTTTTATTTGGTATTCGTAATGCAGTGAAAGCTGATATTGGATACAGTGAAGCTCAAACCGTTTACGGAACGACATCCGACATCCAGAAGAATTCGTGGATCCTTCGTGTTTTTCAGTATTTATGAGTATAAACGCTTGCACGAGCAGGCTTAAAAAAACCATGCGTTCAGTTGAACCACAGTCAACCGATGTTTTCTTTAGCCTGCCTTACGACATACTACATGCGTTTTTGTACGTTTTTGTACCTTTAGAAATGGCATACGAAGGTCCATTCACAGTTCTTATTCGTCGAGCTAACCACTATGTCATCGATATAAACGGAAATAACGACAGCATCAGCATCGATCGTCCTGAAGCCACGTATTTAGAAGTGACCCTAATAATGTTGACTTTTTTCAAACATAATTGAACGACACAGGCCCCACAATTACGATACCCAACCCAATAATCAACAATCATGAAGAAACTTCTCTATGATATGATAACCAGCATGAAACAATGCGTTCTGTAATGGTAAGATTTCCAGGACACTTGATCGACTACTGCACGTAAGACGCGACGTAAGATTTTGTTTCACCTAGAATTTTTGTATTTTGTGTCAAAAAAAACCGAAAACAGAATGTTTCGCCAGTGTCCTCATATGTATATGTACATTTTTTCAAAAAGAACCCAAAGGATTCATCGTTCGAAAATTGTTTCTATGTTACTGCATGTTATCAAAACGCATGTATATAATTATATTTTCCTTTATCGTTCGTTTCGTGTCCTTACGCACGGATATATACTTAAAATTCCGCTTATTTATTTTCCAGAACGGCTGAAAAAATTTAAAAAATAGGTGAAGTTTGCGATGAATCTAAATTTTTATTGTAATTCTTTCGTAGCTGTTGCTGAACATAGCACGCGATCAGAAGAGTGATTACCAACGACAATTTCGGTTTTGAACACCTGATTGATCGGGTCTTAAAGTCATCACTACCCACATCAGAAGGTGGGTGGGCTGTAGCGGTTAATAAATCCCTAAAAATGTGTAGTCTCGTAAGTCTTCATCGTTTGATGCTGACCTCAATAGCTTTAACAGAAACATCTAGCGCTCGTTCACGCATCCGCACCAGACCTCCTACCATTGTCAGCCAGCTTGGGTCAGACGCTTCTTGATACATGAATAGCCTTTCAAACATAATTCCAAACCCCTGCACATTTAATTAAAATGAGTTGACATACTACGGTTAAAGAGGTGTTACTGGTGAATGCATTTTCAATCTCTGAATACTTGCGGCATCTTCATGTGTTTGGAATTGTTCACTCTTTGTATACTCTACTTCTATAAATACAATGATAGCAGTTAGTGTAGTTTGAAGCAATTCGTTTTGTCACACTTCAAGGTGATTTATTCTAACCTTCAGTAATATGTATGAATACGCCTTTTTCATTCATCTTGTCATAAATATCTTCGCTAGAGTCAGCAACTCAAGTTTAACCTTGGCCATTCTTCATGCACGCTTGTGTACATGATAATACGTGTGTGTTTATTTTCTTGTTTGGATCTCTTTCAAGACCGAGCCAAAGCGTTGGCGAATTTTTCAACCTAAATTCAAACTGATTTCCCCTAGTCTTTTATCACCTTCAATTGACTCACTGAAGGGAAGACTAGACACTTACAGAAGCATACTAGAAAAGGAATAACATATTCTGTGGGCCTTCTGACCCTACTACACAAATCTGAATCTGAACATATCTTCGAAGGGAATGACAAAAACGTATTAAGTTGTCGATAATGGGTCTTCTTGTCCGGTTACATGATTTTGTTAGGAGAGGCTCGAGTTTCATAGTGTTTTACAATACTGTAGGGGGTTTAATACCAACTGCCAATTTTGGAATGCCTGTTTAGACTGTTCTGATAAAAACAAGGTTCTTTGTTTCAGGGTTAATTTAAAACATCATCGTTAGCTACCAAACTTAAGGCAAATGGTGATTGTATCGTCTTAGATGGGAACTCTGAAAACACTTTTGTGAGAAACATTGATTCGTTATGTTGTGTCTTTTTGTCTAAATCTCTTCAAGGTCAAGATACTTTTTAACACTTTGGCACGAACTCGTGTTTTTGAGTTAGTTTTGGTCTACTATATAGTATTGAACCAAGGTTTTGTGTCGTAGCGGATTATCCGAGATCGGGCTGCGATCATTGTGTGTATGCTTAACCTTTTATTATCACGTAGATAATGTTACAGTTACATATGTAAGGTGGATGTCTTACATAATAATGCAAATCACTTTATATGTTCCATGTTATCTGAGATTGTATCATTCAGGATATTTTACTTTATTGTGATAGCTGGTCCAACGATAAGCAGCCTGGCTCGCAAAGCTTCAGCTTTCTATGGTGGCCTGATCGATATAATAATTGATTAAATACCATCTAGTAACACCAGTGCTACTCAGTTTAGCTAGGAACGGGATAACTAGTTGCAGTAATCGATTCTCAGGCATATCAAACGTAACCTAGAGAGTTTAAGACCATGAAAAACGTAAGACTATGCAGTCACTCGAATATTTTTGCTGTTTCCTCCGACTTTGCCTAGATACATCTTGTTAGTTTAATAAGATTACTTTGCACGTTGGTATTACTATGTACATTCACTTTTATGACGTAGGTTATGTGGGATAGCGCGAAAATGTGACGTTTCAGCGAAGGGAATTATCTAGACATACACAGTTGTTATTGTTCTCACTAGAAAGTCTTTATCTTTTTTAATGATTTAGTGGGTTTTTTCATGGCTCTTAAGATTTTCTCAATCATCTTATTCAGTGCTTTGTGGATATGTAGTTTGCTTATTCCTTATTCATCATTTATATAATTTCTTTGGGTCTTTCTTATAAAACATCAAGACTTCCGTCTCCTTATCTACCATCCTGTTTAACAGATGTGTTTTTATGAATGTTTTATTCCAGCTGGTTGACAAGAGGTTGTGAGTTTTTTGTAGTCCCAAACAAGTTGATATAATTTCAAAGAGGAATATCAGGTTGATTGTGTATTATCTATCTGACAGGATTCATTGAGTATCTTCAAACGTTTCGTATTCGTTTGTGACTAACATATAAAAATATATGGTCTCACTTTTAATTCTAACCTTGGAATCGTTTGTGCAACTACTTTTTGCCAGTATAAACAAGCTTCATCGTTTATTTAGGTTTAGTATCAATTTTTATATTTTCCAGTCGTAAAATCAGGCTAACGTGTCTGCGGCAATATGACTCAATCCTATATTGTGATGACCCCATTTACTTTGGGGAACATGAAAATTATTCGCTTCGAACGTACACACAACTTGGATGAAAGTGTGGTTCATCACATTGCTGGTGGACAACATTCTGGTATTATAGTAAATAAAGAATGCAAGTTAAAAATGGAACCTATGGATGTACCAGAAATGCAGTTGCAATTTACGTGCATTATGTTCAACAATAGAACTTCTGAAACTCATGCAGTAAGTACTTCTGGTTATGCTTTCTAACCTATTGTTGCTGTCTTAGTCATTAAGATTTGGAGAAATAACTAGTATGTTGTTCTATGCATGACATATGGGATTCACAAGCTTTTTTGCGAACATGTGCGCTATTTTGTTTGGTAATTTTAACCTTTCATCGTTTATAGGTATCATTACCAAGGTTTGACTTGATAATTTCGAATAAACTGAGCATTGGGTAGATTGTTGTAAATAAATATATTTGTAATATTCATCGCTTATGTTAAGAATCTGCTAGTCTAAATACTGATACCATATTAGGTGTTTACTTGCTAGATTTTGGTCCAAAAACCACTCTTATAACTAATATAGGTTCCGGCTTCTCCCGTTTCCGTAAGTTTGTAGAATCTCGGTTCCCTAACCACATACCTTTTTACGGCATAATTTATCATCAGACAGCTACTAAAGAGCAGTGAAAATAATGGATTTAACACTATGTTTAATATCATCGTGATTGTAGTCCCTCGGTAGTCAACTTCGTTTTCGGATATTTATCGTTACATAAATGTAGCTTGGTCTGTGACTAGATTATTAACTGTACATGAAATATGAATCCTAGTCTAAGAAATGAAATTCGTTTCTGAATTCCGTGTACTGACTTTTCATTTGCTTAGTCATAAAGCCGTATTTTCATTTCAAAGCTGTATGGTTGTATTTTGTCTATTCTAAAAACGTCAATCACTCAGTTTCTAGTTGCCTTGTAGCATTTCTGTTTTAAGTTAAATACAACCATTCATAAAAGGGCGTTGATACCGATTGTATAACTTCAATTATTATACAACTAACGAAACGTATTTGAGATTGGATAGAGATATCAAAGGATTATTGAGATTATGCATTTAACATTTTGTATTGTACCAATATTTATGTGTTCAAATAAATAAATAAAATAAATAAATTGTAATGTAACTAAATAATTCATACAAATGGTTTTGTATTTATGGAGTCGACATACATTCCAACTTAAAATGACGGAATAAGTAATGACTAGTTGCATTCCTTTCTCTTTAGATGTAAGTTTTGTTCACTGAATACTTACATAAATGAGTTCACGTAAATGGAGCTTTCATTTTACTTTTAGAGCCATTAATGGTTTACATTAGTAGTTTCTTGTTCATTACGATCGAAAACGGGAAGTAATTGGTTTTTAACAACTAGCTGTGTTTTAGTGAACTCATTTACTGCTTAAAATATGCTATTTTTACAAATTCAAATGATACGTAGTTTTGTGCACTATCTAAATCATCCAGTCGATTATGAATAACTTAAGAACGAACTAACGTTTATTGGCTGAGGTTGTCACTTCAAACCACTACGGCTAAACAAAAAGGTAAAAACAATATCAGTGACAAGTGGATACGTATGCTATTAATTGCAAGTTTTTTTATTGATATCATTTCTATTTTCCTTCACTCATAGCTGAATACTAATAGACCAGTCATGAATCAATGTTGTATTAATTTTATTCAGATTATTATTAAGCGTAAAATGTCATTTTTTTGAGTGATATATGTACAATCTGCTGACTGCTTTTAGGAAAACCGTTGTTTAAAATTCTGGTTCAGCAAAAGCGCTCAACAGTTTGATCGTTTAGATGAGTCATACGACTTTTTTAGGGAACTTATTGATCCTGATGCATTCCCAAGGGGTGAGTTAAAATAATTTTTGCTATTTGTACAAAATGTAAAGATCAGATTTCTATTTATTTATTTATTTGAGTGCATAAATATCGGTGCATATGGACACCAAAATAAATATTCACCACACAAATAAGTGAATGAAATTGAGGAGAGAAAAATGAAAGTGTAGATATAATCAGGAAGTCATTGAGTAAATATCAATGGAAAAAGCAGTTAATAATGGGGGGAATAGTTCAATTAAAAAAATACAACCAGTATGAGTCCTTTTGATGAAGAAAGTAAATGAAAATGACAGCACGACTAGATTCTGTTCTAAGCTATATTTAATAAATTTTCAGGCTATTGAGTTGGACCATCTCTCGGACGCCAGCTATTAAGTCATGATTGAGAGACACATGCCAGTCTTACAGTTTTCTTTCAAGCCTCTGTAAAATATCTTAAACTGACAATCTTCGCTTTTTCAAACCAGTCCCAGCTTCGGCGAGTAAAAGACTATGTGAGAGCCTCTGTTATAAAGTTCTTAGCATTTGTCTAATCCAATGGGGCTATTATTATTTGAAGGCGATGACATCAAGTAAACTATCACCACTGTACCCAAACATACATCGCCAAACCTCTGATTTACTAACTCGGTTTTACCACTGAATGTCAGCAGTCTTTTGTAGACAACGATGATTGCATACAGAAAATAGCTTAAAATCATCTAGTCGAAGAGGCCAGGTTCTCTAAGAATGAGTCAGAACTGTTTCCACCGTCGTGTTGTATACTAGACCTTTTACAGAAAATACCAGAATAAAGTCCTATTCAACGAGTCAGAAGAGAATTTGATGTCGAGAAACCCGACTGTTGGGCTACAGTATGTACAGAGGTGCTGTAATATTTATTTTATTGTTTATTTATTTGAACACATAAATATTGGTACAAGAGGGCACCAAATATATATGCGCCACACAAAACAATGAGAATTTAAAGAGAAGAGAAATACAACAAAAAAAGAGGAGGATAAGGAGCGTAAAAAAAGAACAATAACGAACAGATTAGTGTAAGGTAGTATAATGATAATAATGGGGGAAACGGAAAGGTACAGTCAGAAGAAATCCTTCAGTTAAGGAAGAAGCAACCACTTTTTATGAAGAAAGTAAAAGAAGGTTACAGCAGGATCGCCACTGGCTTCTATTCTGAGCCATATCCGATAACGTTTCTAGCCACTGTGTTGCACCATCTCTCGGACCCCAACCAGGGAGTCGTGAAGGACCAACAGAAGCTAGCCGATTGCAGCTTTCTTTCATACCACGACACCATGTCATATACTGACCACCTCTCCGCTTTTTCCAACCAATCCCAGAGTCGGCAAATAATGCACGACGAGGAATTCTCTGGGACGACATTCGTAGAACATGTCCAAGCCACCGAAGTCGGTGTTTCAAGATGGTGACACCAATGGAATTATCGTCTCTGTGCCCGAACACACGATGCCGAACCTCTGCATTACTAACATGGTGTTGCCACTGGATGCCAGCAATCCTTCGGAGACAACGATGATCGAACACAGAGAGTCGTCTAACATCCTCAACTCGGAGAGGCCAGGTTTCACAAGCATAGAGCAGAACTGCTCTTGCCGACGCGTTGTAGATCTGACCTTTTACAGCCAGACTAGCATCACGAAGGCGCCAAAGATGGCCCAGATTGGCATAAGCCGCTCTGGCTTTCACTATACGTGCATTGATCTCGTCACTCACGCCACCACCAGAACTTGTGTAGCTACCTAGATACACGAACTTCTCGGCGACTTCTATCTGCTCATCATCCAGAGTGAGTACAGGATTAGAATCCTGCCAGTATTGTAAAAGTACTTTGCTCTTCGAAGGTGCAAAGAATATACCATACCTACGAACACTGATTGTCAACTGATTAAGTGCGGATTGCATGACTTGGGCATTATCACACAGTAAGACAATATCATCCGCATACTCAAGGCGATGACTGTGCCGAAAGTCAGTGCTAGCCAGAAACAGGTTGTGGTCTGTGCATAGTTGCAGTAGACGTTCCCCGTTATCTGTCCTGCGACTAACAAGTCCCCATCGGCCTCCTAAACGACTCTCTTCTGTGCCTAGACGCCCGACCTGAGCATTCAAGTCTCCGGCTAGTACTACAATACCTGTCGGACGCACCTTCTGGAGAAGAACAGTTAACTGGTGGTAGAATTCATCCTTGATTGCATTCGGGCTGCAATCTGTCGTGGCGTAGGCGGAGATTATGTACAGACATCGTTTCTCACGCCTATTTCTTCTCACCTTGATGGAACTTTCTAACAGCACACAACCGACTGTTAATGGGAATCCAATCGATTAAATAATAATAATAAGTCTTCTAGAAGCGGTGATTTATAGGGCGTCAGGAAATAGGAGTCTTAAAGGATCTCCACTTCATTAGGCGAGTCACTCGTCACAGACCATAAAGGACAGGACAGTGGTTATTGTCACCTGGGCTAAAGACTATCAGCACTGTTGCTCAAAGAACTCTGTCGATTGTCGAAGACATCATCGGATATCATGGGTTGGTGTCCCGTTATCTTCACAGATTGTTCCACTTACAGCAAGCTTCTTGATGCTAGTTGTTTGGTTGAGTTGAATGACGTTTCGGTAGCTGTTGATTCCAACTCGTTGGAACGCCCCGACCACCAGGCTTTATTGCTTTATATATAAAGCTTCCTAAAATAAAACAGAAATTAGTTTGTTGTACTGAATAAAGTGAAAATGTTTTGTTTGAGTAAAAGAAAGCAAACCACATATCACCAGTCATAATAAGGATAAAACTACTGAGGTGAGTAGTCTGAATACGGATTTGATTTCAGTTTTGAGTCTTATCTGTAAGCATCTCAAAGCTTTGAGTTACATAGTTCCTTTTGCCTTAAATTTCTGAACTGAGTTGTGTTGTAGAAGCAGATTATATGGATCGAGTCTGCATGATAACACTGATCAGTGCTTGGAGATGAGGGACTTAGGATCAGTTATAGTACTACAGCTACGTTCACTGCATCCTACGGGTCAAGGTCAACAGACAAAATTCACTAGGTCGGAGCGTGAGCAAAGTTTCAGCACCTAAGTCTGCAAATCGAATACTGCTATCTTCTATTTCCAAGTACTTCGCGAGGTGTCAATATTGCTCACATGGTTTATGGAATAATTTTGTTAACGACCATCACGTATTTTCCACTTAGGGAAGGTAGATTTTATGATCATAATGTGGGGACGTTGGTACAAAGCTTAGTAAATCCGATCATCTTCATCCATGTTAAAGTATTGTCGTCACAAATAGTCACTCAAAATAATATAAGTTCTGGGTTTTTATATTTTTAGATATATTTAATCGAACACGCCTAATTTCACACAGGCTCCTAAATACCCAAATTCAAGTATTCATTGCAACCTTCCTCCAAAAATTAGCACAGAAATAAGATACAATCAGTTTTGTTGCTGTACTTAACGTTATTATGGTAATGATCTTTCAAGTTGCTTTCTTCGTCAGGTTGGTTGCTATTCATCTTCCATGCAACTTAGTCGGTAAAGCTTGAGTGAGATGTTTTAAACTAATTCACTTAGTTTAGTCTCTTGTTTTTGCTTTTGTGTGAAATTCCACCATTATTTCAGAACAGTAATTAGAGCCTTTATAACAGAATTTAAAAGGCTCGAACAGTCAGACGATTCTTTAGTACCATATGGAAAGTGTGGTCTACAGTTTTACTTTTCATTGTTTGAGACGTGAAGATATTTCTTGAGCGGAATAACCTATCAGGTTTATTCCCAAGTAATGCTTTTCTGAACAATGTTAGTGTGTCGTTAGTTTCAACTGAGTATATAGCAAGTACAATATGTAATGATGGGTCGACTTCAAAGTTATATGATTGACTAAGGGACAATCCCATTAGTTTAATACTGAAATAAAAGCTGAAAATGAAATAAGTTTTGACAAAATCAGAGAAAACTTTTACTATCTGTATAACCTCATGTGATAAACAAGATAGTTGCAAACGTGTATTCAGAATTCTAGTAATATGCAACTTCAGTTGTACTGCTTGTTTCTAGCGTTTGTTTTTGCAAATTACTCGAGTTTTTCTATCTTCACTTTTCTTAATAGTTTGTTGACTTTCATCATTGTTCTTTACATCATGTCACTTATTTTTCAGACTATGTTGGTTTTCTTAAAAAGGTTCTAAAGCTGATGCATGGAAGTCGTTATCTACGTCTTCGTCGTGTAGATTTGGACATTATACCTTTAGACAAACTGGAACAAGAGTCCTTAGTCCCTGGTAAGTAATTGTTTATTATATTGAGATTGTTCGTTAAAAGGCAGACAGTGTCATGTGCTTTCGTGTATACTAATTTGCCCGTTAAAATGAACTAATATCAAGTCTCGTTGAATAATGCCTTCTTGGATCTTTAAATGAGAACCAGCTTTATCAAATTTGCTTGTGCACTTTGTTGACTGTTGAGTGATAGTAAACTATTAAGACGTAGAATCATATATAGGTGTGTTATTGTTTTTTATGTTTGCAATGATTTTCTCTTGCGTAATATTTCAGTCGCTTTACAGTTGTCATTTAAATATTTTGTAAACAAATGTTCACTATATTAATTTTAAAATCGTTAATATTTGTCAATATCGTTTAGTATAGTAATTTCCTTATTACTGTAGTGTCCGGTTCGTAACTTATGTTAGAAATACCGAGGAAATGACAATAATTCACAGTTTGTAGTGATTCACCTTTATTTTAATGTTTAAACATTTTGTTGAGTGGCTTACATATTGATAACGGATGATCCTTTAAGAAAAATAGTTAATGTAAACGTATATTACATTTAGTTAAATTGCAATCTATCATCTAGCTGTTTAACTATGATCTATGTAAATCAAACCAAAGTACTTTGATTATCATCTATTCTTGGATATCTACTGATAATATGTGATCATCAAAAATGTATATTTTGCTGATTTATTCATGGACTTATTGTTCGGCCTATTAGGTCTATGTATACTTATGTTAATTGAAAACTTGTGAGTCATGTTGTTGAACTACCAGCATTCTTAATGAAGGTAATCATCGGATCTATTGTTTATGAAAGTTTTATTTACCAATTTGTAGTTGTCTAAACTATGCTCAATTTGTAATTTTGTGTGGAAGTGAGGGCCTCACTTTATCGATTAACCAACTGGTGTATATCAAAAACAGGATTTAAGTTGTCAACGTGAAAACGGTTATTTAGTTTATATTACTTTTTAAAAAAACGTTATTGTTTACACACTGACTGTAATTTGATCTTGTGTACTCATGTATTTGTTTAATTCTATATGAATAATTTGGTTTTTGGAAAAATATCAGACTATGAAATATGTACATAGTATACACAGTTATCCATCTTTTTATTTACATGAACCTTAGTAAGACCATACTTTGCATATTGTTACAATACCTTTGCGTGTAAATAGTGTAAATTTGTAACCAGGTTTAGTTCTCGTTAGTACTATGAGCTGTATTTGATGTATATGAGTGTGTGTATTTAATTATATTATGAGACTAAATTAACCGAAGTAGGCGAAACTGGACGCTAACCTGTAAACATTGGGAGGACAAGAGCAGTAGTTAATAAGCTACAATTCTGTAGACGACAGTTTAGCTCAGTACATCACTAGGAGTCCTTAGTTTTGAAATTCATTCAAAATGCTCATATATACAATTAGTCGAAAGACTGTAAATCGATGGTTTGTGGCCGTAGGTAGGAAGTGTTCGACCTAGGTTTTGTGCAAACTGGCGCTTGTTGACAATAAGTATCTGGAATCATAAAGTAACTGATTCCCCCGTAACTTTCAAGCTCACGTCTTTGAATCTCATAGTCGATGTCACCATCTGTACTTGACTGATTTGTAAAACTGAGTTATTCACACTAATTGATTACTGAGGAGCTCATCAGCTTTCTTAAGAGTGCAGATACATCTTGCTGATATGTATTAACTAACACGCAGCCTAAGTTCAGGACATCCTGGTAATTTTCACCAACCATCAACTCACATGAAAATGCAGTCCAAACGATTTGTATTCAGATTACAACTTGATCTATATAGTTCAGTGAACATTAAGGACTAGACAAGTATGGTGTCGTTCACTGCTTGGTGCTCAATTAGTGTAAACATGAAGGCGTTTTTAATATTATAGATAATTGAAACTCATTAAACACTGCAACAAATCACATTATAGGTTGATTTTTTATCATACTGTTAATTGAGGTTGTACATAAAGTCAGGATCATAGTTCACCATAACTCTTAAAGAATATGAGTGCATAACAAATATTTCATGCTTCCCAGTGTTTAAACAGTTCTTTTTCGAAGTCACGTGATAAAAATTACCTCGAAATTTCCTAGAAATTAATAGTGAATCAGTTGCTTGTATACTGACACAAAGATTTGTCTATTTCAGGTTGTTTTTATGGTTTTAACTTAATCTGTCTCACATCATCAATTTTTTATCTATACTAAATTTTGTATAAGATATAAGTATATCATAAACTAGTTGGAGAGTTGATATCTTTCTTTCTCATTGAATTCACTCATTTTGTGCTTATCAAAAAGTTACTAGTTGAATATTATTTATAATATAGTCTTTAATCCCTATTCATTCATTCACATCTATCTAAACATTTGACCTATACCTCTGTTTATATTTCAATGTATGAATTAGATGATGCATGGACTTCCTTTTATACAACTATATATATTAATGTGTATTATGATAACCCGATTAATTTACCTTTCCATTGTTAACAACTTTCGGTTTGATTGGAACTGTATAAAAAAATTTCGGTTCGGTATTGAGGTAAAAAGTAGTGAAGTGATGCAGTTTTCAGTTGTATAAAAATGTATCCCATGCATAGTTTCAGACAGATGCCCATTCCCTGTCTTCCTTGGCTTATAGTATGATGAGAATATACCTACAGAATTCTCTAGAGATAATACAAAAGATGAGACTATTTAAAGTAAGTGGTCGCTTGTTTTTAACTACTTGGCAAGTTTATTTACCATCATCGAGGTAGCTTACATGAATATTTGAAGACTAGGTGTTGTTATAACTGAACATCAATCCCGTTGATGGATATGAATCCATCTGTATTGCATTCTCAGTAATGTACATTATGTTATTCTAAGTTAGTTTTCTACCTGGTTCATGTCTTATTTAGGATCTCATTTCCAGATTTGTTTAATTGACGTAATAAACTGTCATCAGTTTAAATATAGTCCAATAGAATATACAAATATTATACCACTTTTACCCTACAGTTAGATTTCCCTAGACTTTTATTTCAACACAATCTGTATCAGTAAAGGTTACATTTAGAAATGTTTTTAAAAATGGCTTGGCAGGAATATGTCTAAAACAAAGTTAAAAATATTCGACAAAGCGATGGTGATATGTACCAACATATCTTAAGTATAATCGGTGTCTTTGTTTATTCCATATGTATACCACTTTCTAATATTCTAAGTATAAATAGTATTCTTCGACGTTACGCTTAATACTCATTAATTGGTGATATACTACGATCCTTTACTGGTTTACTTTGTGCTGTCTTTTAGTCAATGGACTCAAAATTATTCTGATTTGTTAGGATTTCATCATACATTTAATCCTTAAAGTAACATATTAGTCGTTTGAAGCACCAATATCTTGTGATTCAGTGTTTTGAATTATGTCGAAATAAATGTAGCTTGTTTACTCCTTTTTTTCAGTTCCATATTGAACAATTTCTAGATTATATGATTTGTACTAAATTATAAATACTTTTCAAATATTTGGTGCTGTGTATATGCTTTCTTTAATTTGTTACTATACTGAAATTTAGACACTTTTAAAGGTAAGTTGGTTAATATTTTTAAATTATCGCTGATACGATTGTTCAATTCTTGGTTGTGTACTGCATTATTAAAAAGCATATTGATATATGTCTTCTTGCTCGTTGTAGCATCTTGATTATCTTCCTCCTGCTTCATTTTCCATCTTAGGAGTTTGCGTATAACCGATAACGTTTGTTTGTTTAAATGATTTAAGAGTTGAGGAAATACCTAGCATTCACTGTATCTGTGCATTTTGAAATGGATGATTTTATAACATGGTTGACTATTATTTGTCGGTTCTCTGAAATATAATTAAACTAGTGGCTCGAAAACATTGAGTTTAAAATTCGAAACCTATACCACCTACTATGCTTTCCACAGCCGAGTAACATCACGGCTACCCTAAGACCTACACACTTCGAATTGTATTTAATTACTGACTTGGACTAATAAATGTCATTTATCAACTATCTAATCAAAGAATATTATGTCATTAACAAAGTGTGAAAATAATATTTTATGGGACTAACCCCAAATGAATCGTTAACTTGTTCATATTAATTTAGAGTTCATTGCTTATGAGGTTTAGCATACATGTTGTTCTTATCGCTGATTTGAATATTAATCAACTAACCAACAGATTGTAACTTAACATAGATAATGAATCAAGTGTTTCGTGATAGTGATTGTGGACAGAATATCTCTCTATTTACTCTTTATGAAAGAGTGAGAAACTGAACAGATTTTGTTATATTTTTTGTTGCTCTTATCAAGTACATATTTATTTTGGTAGTTTCAAGTCCTATATAATAATACATTTAACATTTTCAAAAATGATGCGTTTTTCGTACATGAAGTTTATTACCATAAGTTATCTGTTTTCTACTGCCTGCATAAGTAGCGGGATATTTGTATGCACTCCAATATATTAATATGTTGCAAAAATATTAGCCTTTCTATTTATCCTTTGTGGCTCAAATATTCTTTGGAAAATGAATAGATTTCACTTCCAAAGTAATTGGTTGTAAATACTTATGGCTAGTGACGCGTTTGCTAGGTAATCCTGCTTATTTTTAACATATTTTTTTAAAACTTATTTTGCATGTTAGAAATTTTTTTAAGAATGTACTGGAAATTTACGAGCGCCAGACCTAAGTACAATATATTTAGCCTAACACAATGTGTTTCATACGGACTATTGTGGTATATATATATATATATATATATATATATATATATATATATATATATATATATATATAATAGTATATTATATCCAAACTATAGAATTTGTTAATTGAGTAAACTTGTTCACATATTGTGTTATTTTCTCTCTAAACGTATAACCAACCTTTTTTTTACTATGTGTTATTAGTCTAATATACAGCGTTGTCCAGAGAAAAGCCTATCTGGTCTACTTTAA